AAAAAAATTTATGAATTGTCAGAACAACATTTCAATAATTAGAACAATTATTATAGGTTAAAGAAATAATGAACTTAGGCATACATAAAAACAGGTATGCTGTGTCTGCATATCCATTATATCAAGTTTTATACCCATATTCGACAGCGTCAGAACAGATTGAAGGAAGCAAACCATATTCTTGAAAAGTCATCAAATGGCAAAGAATAAAAAGTGGGATTCAGCTCTGTTGGAATACTTAAAAAAATTTTACTAACTAAATTTATAGATACCCTCTAAATTATAAAATATGCTCTTGAAAAATAAAGAATCTCTTGGACCTTCTCTTATAATAATTACATAATAAATATTTAAAGTCAAACATACCCAATATAAACACGCATGACCTCAGGAGTATTCAGCACTTTGCCAAGGGACCACATTAAAGCTCCATATACCCGCATAAGCTGTAATTGGTGGACAACTAGTAGAATTAAATAGGTAGAATGTGCATGATTTTCCTGGTGATATTTAAAAGGAGTAATGAACAAAGAAAGATACAAAAGAAACTACAAAACGATTCTTACTTGCTGCGTATCAATTTGGTCTGCCTTGTTCAAAACCACACGTATTTTATCATCATGACCTCGCAAAGATGCAATGACACGTTTGAATTCATCACTTATATCAAGTTTGTGGGGATCAAACAACAACAGGATGAGATCGCACTTTGCAGCAAACCAAGATGTTACACCAGTAAAGTCATAGCTTCTTTGAGTTCGTTGTTTTTCTCCTGATAACACTCCAGGAGTATCCACAAAAGTAATATGTTCCAGAAGCTTTTAGGATTCAAAATATGAATAAATTTTAGCGGTTAGAGAAGAACATCTAAGAATTTTCTCCTCAAATTTTGGCGGGTACAGAAGAACGTCTAACTCACAGGATGTGGCATTTGAGAACACTCAAATTTTGACAAAAATGCAGTTCCAAAAGTCGTCAGACCGCTAAATGGCATATCTGCTTGAACAGCAATTGTATTCCCTGGAACACTTCTTTCATCTGGTCCATTCTGTAAAAATGATTCAATAGTGAAGACTGGCAGACCAAAAGAAGCAGAAGCACGGATAAAAATAGAAAGAAAAAGAAAATAGAGAGAATAAAAAAGAACCATGCTGACTAATGAACATTCAGACAGCCATTTAAACTTAAACAAGAGCTATTCATCTCAATCAAAAAACAATACCTAAAATTTTGCAACCAAAAATTCAAGAACCGTCTATACATTTGATGCAGGATTAACAACGCTCCCAGCTTAAAGTTACAGCATTCTTTTCGCTTTGATAACCTAACTTTTCTTTGTTCCAAATTAGTTATTGAACTTACAGTTTGTTTCAGTTAGGAAATGCATCCCCAAAATTAACGGAAATGCTAATATGGTCAACCGAAAATATGATGTGGCATGGAAAATCCGTAATGCATTATTATTATTATTATTAACGACAAGCTCAACAAAATCATCATGTTGTCAACTAGTGCTTTCAAAAAAAAAAAAAAGAGGAAATTTTAATCTTTCTTCCTAAATTCAAAATAGGTTTTTAAAAAAAAAAAAAAAAAGGACGGAAAAAAAATAAGAAAAGAAATTTTAATCTTTCTTCCCAAACCCCCCCCCACCCCCCCCCCCCTTCTCTTCCCCAACCACTACTGTCATCGCAAGCACCACCATGTCAGTATTTATGTTAATTTAGCATAGAAAGGTAACTGCAGAAAAAAATAAAAGTTCATGACCAAAGTTAAAAAAACACAATAAGTTGGGTACACCCAGAAAATTAAGAATTATTCTAGATGTACATTTTAGTTTACATTATGGATGACATTCTTTATGTGTCAAAATCTGGCCAGTCATGTGAAAGGGTGTTGGAAAAATCAAAGGCTATATGATGACTGCCACGTGGAAGGATATCAAAGTTAATGTAAAAGTGAATGTACATGTAGCAAGCTTGGAAAATTAAACAAGAACTTTACCACAAGGGGAAAGAAAGCAATTTAAGTATATGGATTGGGATCAAATATCAAAAAGACAAAATCTAGAGGAATTTTCCTAAGTTATTGGAACTTATTCATGATTAATCGCATGACGAGGAGAGAAAAATCGGAAAGTACCATGACAACAACAAATCTATCTGTAGTAGGCTCTGGTCCAATGTGAGCTCCTGTGAAACATAATAAAATAAAAATGACAACCAAGTTACTGAAAAGAAACTGAAGATATGTGATCACACTCAAGCAATTGTTTATTAGAACGAAAAGAGAGCTGTTAATATACCTGGATAACTAGTTTTGAGCAAATGTTTAATAAATGTTGTCTTCCCAGTGGAATACTGACCCAAAAGCATCACCATTGGTTTAGCATCAAAATCACTATTTGCCTTCCAACACAGTACAGTAACAGAGAGTTAGCCAACTACGAATCTATTTTCATGACCAATTAAGCATCAACATTAGAAATTAGAAAAAGAAACAAATGTCATCAAATTCCATCTACCTAACACTTCTCTGAGTGAAGCAAAATGAAATACTTACAAGTAAGGGGGAAACAAAATCATTAAATCTGTAAGTAACTTCCAGTGGCTTCAGCTTCTGAACATACAACCTTTTCAAACCATCAATTATCGAAGTAACAGAGGCCAGAGAAACCTGACATAATGATTAAGAAGCATTCAGAGAAATAATATAAGATTAAATTACATCTAGGAAATGTTTAAACAACTGGTGGAAAGAAGGATAACATGAAAGGGAAAAATCAAACCAATGAAATGAAAACAAGGGGCACTACAAATTCATATATTAAACATAGACATATTGAAACTTTAAACTTGCTGTCAGTTTGCTTTTAAAAAATACATGAAAGCAATAAGTACAAAGGAAACCGGTATAAATCAACACAAACCCGATGAGGCTCAAAAAATAAATAAATAAATTATTACTAAGAATGACAATATACCAAAAAAGAAGAATTGATAGAAGTTTTGATCAATAAAGGTATTGATTAAACCAAAAAAATCCAAAAATTTCCATATACAAGCCAGCATACCTTCTTTGCAGATTTTGAAGAAGTAAACCAACTAGCTGAAGGAGACGTTTGCACTTGAGAACTACCTGAATTAAAGCAGATTTGTTGTATAAACACTATAAAAACAAACACTAATATACCTGTAAATGTCTAAATGAAATATCATCCATCTTACCATTCTGTTCGTGTTCACTTTTAGGTGTACGCTTTCTCTTCTACAAAAGTATAATAAAAAAGTTACAAAGCACCTAACATTTACTCTTAGATGAAACTATATAAAACACGTAATAGACTTACAGCTAGGAGAACATCCAGACCTTCCATGGTTGGAGGTTGCAAGTGCTCAAAGTCAACTGCAGACGATTAAAATATTTAAACCACTGTAATATCACTTTCCGAAACAAATACACAAGCTTAAGAAACTAAACAGAAAGATCAAGTCCCCTCTTGAACTAATGTGACTCCTAGCATAGTATTGTGAAGCAAAATAACCTGACACTCCACTTATTACCTTCAGCATTTATAATGTCATTGGTCATAGCATGCCCAGCTTGTACCAAGGAGACCAACTACACGTTATAATGCAAGGATAGATCAGATTCGAGATAATGATCATTATTTCCGAACACCAATCAAGGAAAGATATCAACCTGCATTGACGTGATAAACTCTTTAAAACCAAGAAAACCTTGCCTTTTGGAATCCGCAATTGCCCACACCTGGTGAAATAGTAGAAAGGCAAAAGCTCATTATCCATTACCCTAAACACCAAATAATTGAAATCAAAACATATTTTCCACCAGGTAAAACAAATAAAGATAAAGCATGTTCGGCTATGCCTAAAATTGACTTTTCCATAATATTACGAGTTACGACGTACTCTCTTAAAGAGTTAGTTTCCGTTAATAGGAAATATAACTTTGAAAATTATGTTTAACAAAATAGGTAGACTATATATAAGTTTTACTTTTGCACGCAAATGAAAGCTAATTCTGTTCTCAAGAACCATTATTAGACAGATAATGAATATGGTTGAAGAAGGTTATAAAAATGATAATAATTTCTATACAAGTTGGAAAATCCAAAAAATGGGCACAGGAAAATTTTGGTGTGTTCGGGAATTGAATATATTTTCAGTTCAGAAATCGAGAATTTCAAAAGGACTATGAAATAGCACGATCACTTTGAAATTCTATTGAAAGCATCCCAATAACTCTGTAATACTCCACTTCGTATTAAAAGATCCACTTCACGTCTCATTTTACATTTGTAACTTTTAAACCCTATTCTATCTAAAAGTACCAGTAAGGCTGAAAAAAATTCACTCTGCATTAACAAAAGTGAAAGATAAGGAAAAAAAAAATAAAAATAAAAATAAATAAAAACCTGTTTGAGATCATGACGAGGCAAATTGGACATGGCAAAGAACTTGGTAGCATCGGCTCCGGTCAGTCGCCCATCTCCGTCTGATTTTATGGAGTCATACACCATTTTTCAGAAATTGATTAGCAAATTAATCGATAAGAAGTGATAAATTTGATTAAAAACCTAAAACTCAGCACCTGAATCGGCGAAGGAAAACCATTCTTGATAGATCTTCTGGTTCTCTTTGGAGCAACGACTTATCGGAGACGAATCAATCTCCATTTTCGATCTGAAAAATCTCACAAATTTATCTGATTCTGATTTGAATTTCAGAACGTTTGAAAGTTTAATTTTTGTGAAATTATTATTATATTACCCTGCCTTTTCATTTGGGGGAAGAACCCCAGTCGTTTTGCCGACGTAATGCATATGCAGCATAAACGTTGTTCGGCTTAGAGTTAATTCTTCCAATCGTTACTGAAGTAAGGTTCACGTGTTTAATTGATCGCTGAATTTTAAAATATCGATTTTTGGTCATTAAATTTTGATAAATATCGAGTTTTGATCATTGAACTTAGGTTCATGTTTTTGATTGACCACTGAACTTTAATATATCGAGTTTTAGCAATTGAATTTTGAAAAATATCGAGTTTTGGTTATTGAACTAGATCTATATCTTTAATTGGTCACTGAAATTTAAAATGTTAAATTTTGACTACTGAAGTTTGGAACATATCGTACCTTACTCACTAACACAACTATTGAATTTTAAAAAATATCGAGTTTACAGTGAATAATATACAATATTTTCAAAGTTCAGTGAATAGTGTACAATATTTTTCAACATTCGGTGAGTAATGTACAACAGTTTTCAAAGTTCGACGGTCAAAACTTGACAATTTAAACTTCAGTAAGCTATCGAAGACATGAACCTAAATTCAGTGACCAAAACTCGATATTTTTTAAAATTCAGTGACAAAACTCGACATTTTAAAGTTTAGTAGTAAATCAAGGATATGGACCTAAGTTCAATGACCATTGGAACAATTAACTCTCCATTGCATGTGTAAACAATTAAAATATTATTCCAAACTGTATTTTTCTTCTTTCCTTTTTCATTTATCCTTTTTTTTTTCACGAGATAAGGATAATCATTAAGTTGTGAAGCATGGATTTTAAATAATTAAATTGAGCAAAGTTATTCATAATCAACGATTACAATAATTATCCTATGTGACAGTTTGTTATTTGAAATATTATCTAAATTATAGAAAATTAATACCACAAATAACAAGCTACAACATAAAATAGGAAGACAACTACGGTCAGCTAATTATGAATAATATTATTTATTAAAATTTAATACACTAATGAAGTAAAGTTTCGTTCTATTCTGATCGAATAAATAAGTGAAAATGGCTTATGCTAGTTGCTTTAGATGTAGAAAGGACAGCTTTGCTTTGCAATTTGCACTTGCATTACACAGCTATAACGTTTTATTTTTCGTAAATTTAGAGTCGACTTTACAAATATGTTGAACCAATGCTTGACAATTGGGCCAATTTATTTTTTGTGGAAGCCCAATATCTTATTTGAACTATTGACCCGGTTTTATGAGCCATTTTTATTATATCGTGTTTCAAAATAATTTTAGTGTTTTGTTTTGAATATGTTGAGTTGATGAAAGGTGGCACTATGATGACCATTCATGGAAGAATTTGGTTCTATTTCTTTTATATTCATAGAATTGTCATTTTTCTCCTCCTCTTCACTCTTCGTCTTCTCTCTTTATTCTTCTTCCTTGGTGAGTTTTAATCTCTATACTTTGTGTAACTTTCGATTTCGAAGAGGGTCTGTGGGAGAAAGTCTAGGAGCTTTTCTTGGTTGATACTTGATGTTTCATTCGTAGTCTTAAAATATTAGGGTCCGTTTGATTACAAAGATGGAATTGAATTGAAAATGAATTTCGAGAAATTGAATTGTCTAGAAATTATTTTCCTGAAAATTGTAAATTATTGTGTTTAATTAGTATTTTTTTTACGTGGAAAAAAGTTGAAATTTTGAATATTTTGATGTTCGTTTGGTCATTTTTTCACGAAAATTGTCAATTAAATAGATAATTTTTTTTAGAATTGTTGATAGATTTTGTTTCCATTATTGAAAAAAAAAAATGCTGGTGGGAATTCAGTTTTCCACCATTTCAAGAAAAAGGCAAATGTGTGGGGAAAATGTGGAAATCGAATTCCCTATAAAATTTAGCAATCAAACACCACATTTTGGTGGAAAATAGAAAATGTTTTCCATTTTCCATGAAAAATGTGTCCAATCAAACATGGCCTTAGTGTGTATACTTCTTGGCTAAGCATCTTGATATTTTCATTTACTTCACTGCATATTGTGTTTGTGGTAACTTCTGGAACTAACATAATATTATTTACATTTTTAGAGCTTGGAATGTAGCATCATATGGGGAATTAAGAAAGCATCACCAATATAGAAACATTATTTGGCTCGACTTGCGAAATCAATACAAATGCCATAAAAATAGCTCCCCTGAGAAACAAGAGAAAATACGGGAAAGAAGAAATAATAAATATAGAAGATGTACAAACTTAAATGAATAAATGGCACCAAATTGCACAATCAAATGGTGGATTTCAAGAATCAATCACCCCGAACATTGAGGTTGTGTAATCAGTCAATTAAGTGAACTAATTGTCTTTCCAAGCAACCACAGAACAAGGGACAACTCTATACCAAATATGGTGTGAAGCGAAGTTCTGTCGAGAATGAAGCCATATAATGTAATCCCGGCTCTATTGTTCTCAAAGTATGTAACTGCAAAAAACACGCCCGAAAATCAAATATTGCAAGATTCATCTCCATATCACATGTATTATAAAGTTCGGGAAAAAAATAATAAATAAATCCAATTTCCCCCGTCTTACCTAAGGCTTGTCTTTTCTGAAATGAGAGAGTGCTGTAGGCATATGACATGACAAATTTTGAGTTGTCGAGTTCATCTTCTTCGTCACCAACCTCATCGATGTCTGATGATGCATCAGCACTCACAGGAAATATTTGATTGGCAGCTACAGATGCTACTGGAGTCTCAGTTTCAGTTGCATCAAATGAGTCGATTGTTGCACATACGTGCCACTTAGCCGCAAGGCAAGTCACAGCTAGTGCCTTGTGTGTAATTCTGGTCGCACTTCGTAATAGTATCATAAGCCCGGCAAGAAGACTTGCGGAGCACAACTGCACATCAAAGACTAGTTGAAAATGCAGGTTTATTTGATGATTTGATCCAGTAAGTTAGGAATGCATACCACAAGTTCTCCAGTTTTATATATATCAAGTTCTGCACTGGGACGTGTAGTCATGAGAAGAGAGGCAAATTGACTTGCAGTAATTAATATCAGTGCCCACAATATGAAGACTCTGTACCTATGGCTGATAATCCGTAAATGCCTCCTGATCCTGAAGTGTTCCCTCAAGATTGATTCAACATCAGAATCGACGTGGAAGACCAGAGCAAAGTCTTTGAGACGGAGAATCTGAAGGTAGCAGATGAGACGGAAGAGAACACATACTAGGAAAAAGACCACCGTCCTATAGAACCATGAGCAGAGTTCAAGGAAGCATGCGACAGTGTCACTCACAATGGCATTTCCCAAGAATGGAATGCGCGTTCCACCAGAGGCATACCACCATATCTTATATGCAGCCTCAGCAGCAAAACACGGTAGGACGAAGATGAATAGGACCTTCAGTGATCTCTGCATTTAGGGAGCAAAATTGATGAGAAATATCTTATGAAGAATGTACCTAAGCTATTTAAAGGGAAACACTACACTTCATGAAGTTATCCCTCCAGTTGTGTTTGGTTATGTTTCTATAAGCTCTATTTGCCACAACAATACATCAAGGACTCTCTCCCGACTTAGAATTCCATAAGCATAGCCTCGACAATTGATGGTGTAACAACACAACCTGAGATACTTTTGGTCAACAAAAAGTGATAAAAGTGATGAACTCAATGCGGCAGACTGCTATCTGAGAAGACACTAAGATCATCTCCTTGAAGGTCTAATCCTAAGCGATTCACCTCCCCACTAAGCAGAAATTATGAGAAAGAATCCAGACCGTGCTATTCAGAGAAAAGTACTAAACAAATCAAACGGCTGTTCTTGAATTAAAAGCTTGACCACAAGACAAAGAATCAATGCACACATTCAGTCTCCTTCAACTTAACGCAATGATTGATCTAATCATATTGGTGGCCAAGAACTCAAGCAATGATTTATTATCCGAATCTACTCTACTGCTTCATCC